TTCGACAGAGGCTTTTAAGAGCTACGATTGCTAGTCGGATCCTGAAGTCATACTCGCAGCTATATTTATTAGACTTATCCAAGTGGGAGACTGTTGGATTTAGTGTCTAAACCCATAACTATAATTGGTATGTACTTGACCCGAGAGTAGCATTGTCCATTTGGGTTGCATGGCACCAGAACAATCTGAAGGATGGAAATTTGAGTAGAGGTTATTTATGATTTATTAATATATTATAAGTTCTAATATATTAATATGAAATCATATTATTTAATTAGTATTGATCAAGAATTAATTTAGTGATCAAAAGAGACTAATTAAATATATGGGGATTGATTGTGTAAATCGTTGATTCTTATATGGTGGGCCAATGATCCTAATTCTTTAGGTTGGGCTTAACCAATGTGACAACCCATGGATGATCCATGGAGGTTTAAACCCATGGAGCCTAAGGAATATGGAAGGTCATGCACATTAGGGTTTACATGGTGTAACCCTAGTTTTGGAAGAGCTATAGCCGAATTTGGCACAAGACATTCTCTCTCAAGTTCTCCATTGTTGGTGGTGTTGTGTGAAGCATTCGAGGCATCACATTTGGGGTGCTAGGCTCTTAAAGGTCCAAGGAATCACGCTACAAGAAAAGGTATGCCATCTAACTAGTTTTTATTATACAAGTACCCATGTTTGTATGCTAGTTAGGGTAATGCTTTGGAAATCAATTGCATGTATAATTAGAGAAAACATAGATCCAAAGCATTTAGGGTTGTATGTGCACCTTAAGGTTGTTAGGATGCTCAAAACCCATCACAAACCTATATAAGAGTCCATGAAGGTTTAGTCCAAAGGGCCTATCAAATGTGAAGAGTCATGGTGAATTAGGGTTTACATGTAAGAAACCCTAGGAATTCCACACTATAAAAAGTAACCCCTAGCATCCCTAAAATCGGCTATAAGGATTCCAAGGTGAAACCCTATCCGATTTATGCTTCCTAACCTCTCTCTCATAAGCCTCCTTTTGCTTTTGGTGTTTGTAAATTATTAGAGGTATCACACTTGAGGTACTAAGCTCTTGAAAGGCCAATAACTACAAGCTACAACAAAGAGGTATTCATCTAACTAGTTTTTATGTTTATATCTCCAATTGCATGCTAGCTAGGGTATATGCTTTGGATAAAATGAAATTGCATGTATAACTTGAGAAAACTTAGATCCAAAGCATCTAGGGTTTGTATGTGCACCATAGGATTGTTATAGTGCTCAAAACCCTTCAAATGGCAATTTGCACAGTCTGATCGAGACTCGTAATTCTCTTCTCACCATCTCTGTTCGTTAGCATCTGGTAGAGAAATTGAAGCCTATCTTCTCCATGTTAGATAGAATTCAAGGTGTTTCGGAATCTTATATTCCAAAACAAGGTGGAGAACCAGTGAGAACTTCTGTTGTTATAAAAGAAACTGGTGGCGAAAATGATCAAGAACAAAAGCCAAAGTCAAACGAACCAAAGGTTAATGTAGCTTCGGGTTTGAGAGGAAAAGAAAATTTGATTGAGGACAGTGATAAGGAAGAAAAAGATGAAAATGGGAAATTAAGAAGGAAGGCTTGTCGTGCAGAAATTGACGAAAATCATCGCATTGTCAGGGAAGCTGAAGAAAAAGAAAGGAATGCTCGTGAAGCCAGACTTACTTTGGAAACTCAAAAGCTTATTTTCCCTCCCTGGTTTATGGAACGAATCCTGAATGAAGCCATTGATAATCCAAATATTTATTGGCTAGAACCTGTTACGTCGTTCGAATTGGAGAACTCTCCTGATTCGCAGCTTGATCTTCCAATAACTCCAAAGGCCTTTCAGTTTCGCTGCTTTGAAAAAGTTGCGAATGCTTCTCTTTCTGATAATGGTGCTGATCAGATGCTTTTCTCGTTTTATCTAAAGCACATGAAGCCACAATACGAGACCTGGAGTTCAAAGAAAATTACAGTTGTGAAGGTTTTTGGCCCTATTGAAACTGAAAGCTTTCCGAATGCTCGTTTCAAAGCAGCACAAGGAGCTGGGAGTTCAGTCTTTGAATTTACATTGACTGATTTCTCGTGCCTAAACCTGTATGATTGGATATCTCTGCTTCACCTCCTTCTGAAGGATGAACAAAAATATGAACCTATCGTGGCACATCTCAAAAGGGTATTGGTCTCGTACATCCAGGAAGTAGGAAAGATGGATGTAAAGATAGCGGCAGTTCTACGAAAGAAGCCAACAGTATTACCCAAGGAAGCTCCAGAAGATTTTGACAAGATGAAGCTGGGTAGAATACGAAAGGTTGGTTGGTGTATGGCATTCTGCCATTCCAAATACGTGAAAGAGCTGATGTTGAATTTCATAGAGTTTGCTTCACTTTGGCTGATAAGCATCTCTACTCCACCTCTTGCCTGCAATACATTATGGAGTTAATGAATCAGTGCAAAGCAGTGTTGTAAAAATCGTTCTAGGCGGCCGGTTAATCGGGGATTAATGCTAGGTAGTCTTCAATAGAATAGGATTAAGGCTAATCGGTCAGCTTAATCGGTTTTGGTCAAAGAGGGTCAAAGTCGGAGCTAGACGGTTCTAATCGGTCCTAGGTGGCCTAATCGGCCAAATTTTCAAAATTTTAAATATTAAACCAACATTTTCAAAATTTCAAAAGTTCATAGTATTTCAATGTTCAACTAATATATAAATTTTAAAAAAAAAATTAAAGTTTTTCTCCAAAATTTTCAAAATTTCTTTGTTTTCAAATATACAAATACCCAAATTTATTTCTTTTCTGAAGATATATTAAAATTTGAATAACTTTTCTTATTAATTGGATGACAAATTATTGCGCTTGTTAAACTTATTATTAAACTTTTATGCTTATTTATTAATATTCTTACGATTAAAGTTAGATTTATAAATTTTTGAATAATTTTCTTAATAATTAATGGTCCCTGATTAATCCCTAGACCCTAGTCCACCGACTAGCTAACGTCTAACGTTTTCTGCAACCTTGGTGCAAAGCGAACAATGCAGGGGACAAGAAATGTTTCTCTGATATGATTAACTGGTACATCCAAGTTCGCAAGACATTGTTGGGCATAATGCCAAAACTGTTTACAGTTCAGAAGCGCAAGCAGCAATGAAGATCTACCTTCCTTGTTGACACAAAGGGGGGGATTGTTGGGTTATTTTGTGTTGTGTCAATATTGTATTGTATTTTTATAGTCCATCTTTTGTAATGGGTTGGGCTTGTCCCACCCGGTTTTAATGTGCTAGGGTTAGACTATTTATAGTGCACACATGCACTGTGATTAGTATCGATTGTACTTACCCTAAACTGCATTTACAGTAAAAGTTCTTTATCGAGCTCTTCTAAGGCAGTGGTTTTTAATCATTTAACACATTTTCTATCATTGTGTTCTTGGCTTTGATTCATATACCTTTTTAGATTCTATCGATCAACTCTCTTTAATTCTAACACCGGTTTACCAGTTTCATTACGTATTCAGTTCTGTTAAAGTCTTATTATTTTACCATAATTTACGAATAAATCTCAAACTAAAATTAAGTGATGATTTGACCATTTTCTCCTTGTAACATATATATATTGTCAGTTTCATTATTGACTTGGACGTCTAATTATTAAATGAGCTGATGGGATGAATATGTTAGGTTATATAATGTTATGTTTACCATAAAATTTGACATCATGATATATTATATATTTTTTGGAATATAAAATGCATCCAACGAAGACTACATTAATTACATAAACTGGCAACAACTTCGTCATTTTTTAAGTTTATAAGAACTTTCAAATTGTCTATCTAATCTTATGTAACCCAATATACCCATCTCATCAGCTCATTTACCACCCTTTTTCTCGGAAGCACATATTTTACCGGTTTCATTGCTGACCCAGATACATAACCATAAATGAGCCGATGAGATGTATATCAAACTTTACGGTAAATGTAGCATTAGATACTCATCATATTCATCTTATCAGCTCATTTAATGATTAGACGTTCGGGTCAGCAATGGAACCAATAAAATGTATTATATGGAGAAAATGGTCAAATCTTTACTTAATTTTAATTTGGGACTTATTGGTACATTATGGTGAAATAATGAGACTTTAATTAAACACAATAAGTGATGAAACAGGTAAACCGGAAAAAATGGTCAAATCGTTATTTTTACCGGTAATTCGTGTTTCTTCGTAAATAAATTTTAGTTTTAGACTTTTTCGTAAATTATGGTAAAATATTAGGATTTTTCTAGAGAATTTTCTTCTAATTATTCCACAAATGCCTAAACATAGTTTTAACCATATGCAATAAAATTGTTATGATACACAAATAAATAAAATACATTGTTATTTCTTAAATTTATCTCAAAGAAAAACAAACCCAATTTGAATACCAAATGGTCAAATCATCCATAATGAAAGTTCCCGTTCTTCTGTTCAAGTTCGATTCTACCATAGTTTTAATTTGCTCCTCAAAGCTACAATTTCCAAAATCAAACCAAATTTCAATTCTAATTCATCAACCTATAGGATAAATCCTGAAAGTCTAATTCTCGTTAATTCAAGTTTAGACTTTCTTTTGTTCCAAACAAAGACTGAACCACCCTTAATTACTAGGACAAACCGATCGAACACAAAGACTTAATAAAAAACCACTGATTTAAAAAAAAAAAAAGCAATTAATTAGTCAATTTGCAAAATTATAAATAGTTTTTTGTTATGCGTTACTTGAAATAGCTTTTGGATTTGGAGTTTTTGAGTTTTTCTTAAAAGCTAAAAGTATTAAAAGTTATGTCCATTCAAAGAGAACGGTAATAAAATGCACAAACAAGTATAAACATTCACTAAACCATAACATAAAACATCGTTCAAACACAATTCTAGAAGAAACAGAAACGAAAATCCTAAATGTTTCATAGTACTAACGAGTATAGCAACTTAGTATTTTAGTAATAGGGGTCTTCAAAGGTACCACATAGACGCATCTTGAGGAGAAAATGACGATTGTGCTCCAAATCTGAAGTCAAGGGTATTATTATCATTTGAATTCAGGTTGTTCCCGGAATCGAAACCAGAATTTGGTCCAAAGAAACCGTCATTGAGCTGGATTTGATCAAGATTCCCACAGTTGAAGCTTCCATTGGTTTGTTGAAGATTCGTTTCATAGAATTCCATGAGATCAGAAATCAGTTTTTGACCATCTTCCGGAAGTCCAAGCTCCAAAACACCAGCACCGCTGCCACCACCACCACCGTATGGCGGTGGTGGTGCAGCGAGCTTAGTTTGATCAAACGACGGCATACCAAACGCAGGTACTTTCTCAATATTGTTCATTTGAATGTTTAGGTTTCCGCTCATCTGGTGGTTGTTTCTTGCAGATGTGCCATGAAACCCTGGCGGCAGGTGGTGGTTATCGGCGCTACTGGATGGTCGTTTTCTTTTCAGAGTAAAATTCTCAGACGAGTCAACAATCTCCCCTTTAACTAGAACAACTGGAATCGGCTCATCAGCCGCACCTTCAACATCATAATCACCAACATCACTGATCGGAAAACACCCACCACCGCCGCCGCCAATTCCCGGAGGACAGCTGTCGGGATACAAATTCCGGCAAAGCGCCTCCTCTTGATTAACAACCGCAATCCACGTGGCGCTTTCTTTAGCAGTCATTTTATCTTGTAAACATTTCGACTGCCTAACAAGTTTCCTAATCTTATCAATCTCCGGCGACATATGCTTAATCACTGCCATCAAAACATTAACTTTCCACGCCTTTTTTAAATCATGGGGCTTCTTATACGGTGGCGGCGGTTCCCTCATCATTCCTGCTTCCACCCACCACTTCTCATCTCCGGTCGGCCACCATGGCGGCGCAACACCTTTCTCCAACGGGAACCGCCGCTGTGGCGGGTCACAATGCTGCATCAAAGCCGACAAAAGCGACCCAAGTGTGGTGTCTTGAAGCTCTTGTAATGTGTGTGGTGTTGACACCACCACCAGCGGCGTTAAACTCTCCGGGAAGTTGTCAGCCTGGTGTTTGGCGATGGCGGCAGGACCGTTTTTATCAAACCGGACTTTTTCTTTCCACCATGGCCGGAGATTGTCGGAAGCTCCGGTCACCGGTTTACCGTTTTCTGGGATGATTCCGTATACGAACCCCTGAGCTTTACAAACTTCCATCATTTTTAACATATATTTCAAGATTCCATCTTGGGCCCTTGACATTTTTTTTCTTCTAGCTTGTTCTTGAGATTGCTGATGTTTTTGGACATTGATACTTCTTTTTAAATTATTTTGCTCTTTTAAACGTCTTAAAAGTATTTTGTCCTGCCACATTCTCTTTTCAAGCTCATCAATGTCCGTTTCTTCATCATCACTGTAATAGTCTTCCATTGATGGCCCTTGTGTTGTGGTTTCAGTCTCAAATGGAGGAGAAGATAAGAAATTGAAGCTTTCAAAAAACCCCATTTCTTCAAACATCATTGACATATTTTGGTAGATTCGTATGAATGCAATCAAGATTCAATATTGGGTTCTTATTTAAAATCTTTAAACAATGATCTCAATCGGATACCCTCCTGAAACAATCGGTCAACTTAGAATCAGTAAGGGTTAAATGCATATTTATGCAATGAAGCTTCACCTTGTTCCAAGGTTTTTGCAACAATGTTTCACATTAGGAACGAGATTTTATCAGCATAATGTTTCTGTTTATACACTGTTGCATAATAGGATTATTACTTTAAGCAGCAAAAAGCAAATAAAAAACATAATCTCTTACAACTAATTAACTGATTTTGATTATTCATCACATAATCACTTTCAGAACACATATAGGTACAAGTAGATATATACGAATCCATTTTCTAAATTCTAGACACGAGAAGTATTACAGAGGCATAGCTGAAGAGTTCTTTCCTTTTAAGTATTAATGTATTATATGATACTTTTTGAAGTGCTTCAAATTTTACGTTAATGGTAAAAGTTGTTGCAGACAAACCAAACTTGTAAAATTACCAAAAAGTATATACTTCACCAAAATAAGCACTTTTGACCAAGTTATGGAAATATCAACTCGAATAATCGGGCTGAATTAAGGTAATTAGATAACTAGATAATCATGTATGTATTCGAAGTTAGGAAAAATTAAATGGTTTTACATTTATCTCAAAAATTATCTTATTGTAAATTCTTACCAGCTTCTACAAAATTTGATTATCTTAAGAAAATCAAAATCATAATGGGTTTTTACCTAATAGGCAATAACTTATATGCAAGAAACACCAACTTACTTCCATTGGTTTGTTTATTATAACGCCCTACTTTGATTCCTTCATCTTATAGCATTGTATTTTGAAGAATTTACCAATTATAGTAATGTAATCTAGATGCAAAAATAATTTACAATGCTATAAGTGGGTAGATGGTTTATAATAGCCTCATAAGACAAACATTGAAGGCACGATACTACATTTGGCTAGATTTTTCAAAGTAAAAATGTCTTAATAAGAAAATAAATTGAAAAGTATAACTGTATAATAAAAGAAATGAAAGTAGGATGCTATAATACATAGAGAAATGAAAAATAAGTTCATATTTCTTGCATAATTGCATTCAGCCTTCTATAATTGTTCCAACTTCGGTTTAAAGTTTAAACCGACATCCAAACACCCCCTAAATTCAAATAGCCACAATTGATTTTCTAAAGATACAAAAGAAACACCATGGTTTGTGCTTAACATTTTTATCGAGATTCATTTATATTATTATTTCCGAATTTTGGAAAGAAATATGATTTGTTTGCAATAAAAACTTAGGTCATCTCCAAGCCAACACCAAATCCAATTTTTTTTTTCATTTGTTTCATGAAAAAAAAAAATACTTCAAAATGGTGTAAACCGTAAAGTCATCTCCCACCTCATTCTATTTATTGCACCATTTTTCTGTTATGCTATTCATTTACATCAAAATGATGTTAAAGTTTCATATGTTACTTTTAGCCCCTCAAGTTTCAAGTTTTTTAAATATGACTAGGTATATTTTAAATGTAATAATTATTAGTTATAATATTATGTTAAATATTAAATTTGATATTAATTATCATAAATATAAAATTTAATCTTTATGTTCCGATACAATTATAAATAAATATAGTTTTTTTATTCTACAGATGCTGATTTAATAAAATAACAAGTCAATGCAAACTAATAATATAGAAATAATTTATTTGGTTATAATTTTGTAATAGTATATTTTAAAAAGTTTATACTAAACAATACACAACAACAACACAAAAAAAAACAAAAAACAAAAACAAAAAACAAAAAAACAAAAAAAAAACAAAAACAAAAAACAAAAAAGATATAAATGGATATGTAAAAGGATAACAAGTTGAAGGGTGTTTTTGACAAAATATATATATATATATATATATATATATATATATATATAATATATATATATATATATATATATATATATATATATATATATATATATATATAATAGGCATGGTTGTATAGGTGTGTTGGAATTATGTCACATGCCAAGTTCAAGGATAAAATATATAGATTTGAGAGGAGAATTAGATGAGTATATTGTCCCTTACAAAAATCATTTTTACACAATTGAAGCTGGATCGGAGATGGTAAGGGCATGAATAATTTTAAAAGTGAGAGAAAACCAGCACTTTAACAAAATTATTCAAAGAAATGAGCCTAATACTTGATCTAACTGATGACTAAAGTTCAGTCCAAAATAAAATATTATATTTTTTTTATTGAATTAAATTCATAACTTAATTTTTTTTATTATAAATGGATCAAACACACCACAAAGTTCTGTTCTTCCTGTTTTAACGGAACAAATAAGAAACACAAAATCCCACAGAAACAACTACAAGATAACAAGAAGCTTAAAGGAATCAAACAATCCATCAAAATTCATACAGATGAACCAATCAATCCCAAACTCCCAGATCAAATTACACTAAAATCAACACAAGGGTTTCATGTTTCATCAAAAATATGATAATTTATTCACGGAATCAAAAGGGTATCAAGAAAAAAAAAAAGTTCAGAAAGATGAAAGAACTCACAAGCTTTATGTGTTTTAAGTTTTTGCTTAGCTTCAAGCCATCTGAAGACGAAGAAAGAACGCTGCGTACAATCTGTGTGTGCTCTTGGCACACATCGAAGGAAATGAGAATAAAGTTGAATAATAAGATATTATATATATATATATATATATATATATATATATATATATATATATATATATATATATATAATATATATATATATATATATATATATATAATATAAAGGCAAGAGGGGGGGGGGGGGGGGATAATTTAATAATATTTGTGCTTTTAAAATGAATAAAATTACAAACAAATAACTATTTATAAAGATACTTTTATCTTTATTTCTATTTTGGTTATTATATTTAAATTTTTTAAAACCGCTATAAAAATCAATGAATTAATTTCTAAAGTAAATCAAGTAAATATTGCATCATGATATTTTAGATATTTTCTTTTTGTTGACATGAAGGGTTTAAGCAAAAGTTGAAGGGTTAATGACATAAATGTCATTTTTGTACAATCGTACGAATCAGAGTTGAGGTTAATGAGGAAAGATAAATAACAACGTTGTTAGAATAAGGAAACTATAGTCGGGCTTGAACCTCCGACCTCATTTAGGATTTCTAACTTATTAATGATACTACAAATATGAAGGGACATCAGAAATCTTTTTTATGACTAAAGTAAACTCCACGATGAATCAACTATAGATTTCTAACTTCTCGCTAATAGTACAACTATAGAGACCTTTGGATATACACAATCCCATGCAAATCATCGATCCCCAAATGGAGACATGTTGTCATCGAAGATTTGAAGCATGTGGTAACTATTTTTGAATGTTTATCCCAAGTCTTGTTACCACTTAATCATTCAAGAGATGGTTGCATAAGATATCTGATATAGATAGTTTGGTTTAAGTCATAATCTTAAGTCTTTAAGCATGGTTAGGTCGCATGGCTGTGGATTCAATGTAATAAGATGAGTTTTTTTTGGATGTTTTGTTAGTGATTGAATTAGGTTCATGAATTTCAGATGTTAAGTATGAGATTTGGTTTATAATAACATTTCGTAAAAAATATAAATATAGAATCATAGTCCGACATAGTAACATGTGTAGGAGATGAAGCCGTGATGATGTATTGAAGTCCATATGATATAAGCTTATCGAAAAATAAAAATTGAATCCATAATTTATTCTCTAAGTGATCTTCATCTCATTGACCTAATGTGATTTATGCGATGGATTATGAATCACTATTATATTTCTTTATAAGGAATGAATTTATTTATTTCTATAAAAGGCAAGGGAAAATTCATGAATTTATAAGATGGTTTGGTTTAAGTCATCGTCTCAACCATGGTTAGGTCACATAGTACTCATTTTGATGTAAAGGCAGCAAGATAGTGTTACACAATGTATGGTTGAAGTGCGACAACGGGTATAATAGCTTTTGTATTGTTTCACCTAACCATGGTCGTAATGTGATTACAAATGATCTTAACCACGATTAAGTCTTTATCCATCGGTAAGATTGTGCATTTAAATTTATGTTTAACGTATAATATGTCCAAGAATCATATGAATTAGATTTTTAAATCATGTTTAAAGGAACATATAGGCTACAAATCTATGGATTTTAAAATAAATAGATCTCATACAATGTTTATAAATATTCATAGGGTTATAATATTTTACAATGATTTATAGCATGTGACTATTGTAATTAAATATTTGTACATATGTAAGAATCCCCATAATCTATAGTAGGCCTTTTGGACTAGAATGTAACAACTTTTCTAAAACAATGACTAAAAGAGAGATATTTTGCATAACTTTGGACTAAAAGTATAAAAGGTGATAAATAATATAAACTAAGGGGTAAATACTAAAGTATAAAGGCTTTGTTTCATATAGACTATAATGCAATAATATAGAAGATAGCTACTGTTGGTTCATGTTCATTCTTGACACCATTGTTGAGTGGAGTACTCAACTTCTTAAAGAAATTTATGTGGCTAAAATATAAAGTTTAAGACCTTGGTTAGAAATAGAAAGTGGTGTGAACAGTGCCTATATCTACCAATTAAACGATACCAACATACTTACATTTTCTTTTATAATAGCAATGTATTTTTTTATAAACAATAGCTAGATTTGTCTTTTTCTTTAAATATAACTAAGTTGTACATTATTTATGGATGAAAAACTATAAGAGCAATTCAAAACCCACCTTTTGAAATAGAGTTACTTTATTTTCTTTTTTTGTATATAAATAAAATTAGTGCTTTTCAACACATTCTATTTTTTACAAGGTTACGAATAGTAAACTACAATCTTAGAGTTATAATATTCAATTACGAGTTGAACTTTTACTTTTTATAATTTGCCCTTCAACTTTGA